AGCGTACCCTGAGCACCCCCTGAGCACCCCCTGAGCGTACCCTGAGCATCCCCTAAGCGTACCCTGAGCATCCCCTAAGCGTACACTGAGCATCCCCTGAGCGTACCCTGAGCCCACCAGAAAAACCCCCACACTGGTTTTCATAATCGGTCTCTAAATGGCCCTTGCGGGTTATGACAACTTGTACTCTCGACTCCACCGAAATCTTCAATCTACAAAGATGTTCACCAGTGATTCCCTTTCACACCAATGTACCAAGTGCTGAACATTATGTATCTTCTGCCCACCCTTTCATCGAATATGAAGAGTGCAATTCATGCCTGCACAAGTCACGCTTTTACGAGCCCTCGTATAGCTAACTAACTAGCTTGACTAACGTTAACTTACCATCCTAAGTGATTACTAAATATGGGCGCGTGTTGGAAAATTGATTTTGGACAAACTCAACAATAGAATAACTACACGACTTTTGAGCTCAACCCGCAGAATCCGAAGTTCTGCTTCTTCGCTGCGTGCAAAGGCGATGAACCTCTTCGGCGTGTCTTCGAAGATGCATCTCATGCAAAAGGTCAACGCTGCACATGTGACACCTTCGATCATCTAGGTGCTGTCTGCGAAAATGCCTCAGAATTGATTTGTACTCGCTCCATTCCTGCGCCCGGCGATGATCTGGCAGGGTGGTATTGCCGTAACATTGAAAACATCGTAGGGGTTTGTCAGAGGCCTTGATGTGTTCTTCGGCCTGCTGCAAAAGAAGATCTCTCTGTGACAGGCCGTGAGTTACGCAATTGATTTTGAGTGGGCGAATTGCAATGGATGTTGGTTTTTCATTGATCCCATCATTCGGCGGTAGTCGTTTTCGTCTGCCACGCAACGGGCCGCCTTCTTGGACAGAGCAGTACTGTGAAATAGCAGCTACTGCGGCATTTCGCCGTTCCCACTCGGCTTCTAAAGACTTGGACACGGGCCACGTCAGCAATTTCTCCAGAAGATAGATCTGCTCAGGGAGCATATGATCTTCAGTGCGAAGCAACTCTTTCGCCACCTCGTCATCAACAGCCGACCCAGATAACTGACGCTCGATATCGATGATAGCCTGCTTTCGGTCAAATTCCTTTCTTATTTTGTCTCTCAAGGTCCGCTCCAGCCGACTGAATGTATTCGCCACGTCACGCGTCAGTTTATCTAGTCGTAACTGGCTTTGGATATCGGGGGTTTCTCTGTAGGCAGCTGCTTGCTCATCCCTTCGCTGTTTGACTTCAAGGTATTCAGGATGATTGCGAAGAGATTCCCTCTGTGCAGCAGTGAGGTGTCGAGGGCGCCTTTTATCTATCCACCGACTCATTCGCGTAATGGCACGCATCAAGTGTTTATTGGATTTCCGGCCATTCATGATACTTTGCATGTCGGTGTCAATATGTCGTGGTAAGTAGTGGTCCAAGAATGTCTTGGTGTCCGAGTGCTTCATGATCAAGTTTTGCTGCGCTTGGCTGACCTCGTCACTTTCGTTTAACATTTTTCCTCCCGCATACCGGAATCGGTGAGAGAACATTGAGTGGAGCCATCCATGAATCTCCCCCAAGGATTTCAAGCGGTCAGACATGGTTCCAACGGACATTGGGCTCTCCCACTGTATTCCCGGTGTCCCCAGAACAGCATGTACGCGGCAGAATACGTAATGTTCTTCCACTTCTGGCCGTAAAGGCAACGGCATTTGTTGGCAGCCACTTTGAACAAGCAATTTTCGAACTTGCTCCATCGATGAGAGCTCGGGAACTTCAAAGGCCTGAAGCCAAAACAGGATACCAAATATGAATGCATGAGGGCTGAAAATGAGCGATGGGTCATCAATGATTTCAGGAAAAGGGAAATTGTTACTGAAAATGCAGTGTCAGACGGAGGACCATTTCAGGGGAACACAAGGAACATACGCCTGTGATGTACCCATAAATTTCTTCGTGTGTTCGGATTTGATTTCCACCAACAATATTGGGGGACCGTCTTCTGGGTCTCTTTGAATGGACAACTGCAAATGTTTGAATTGTAGCGAAAGGAGTGCATTGAGGCGGTTCACGGTGAAGATCCCAAGCATGGTGTAGAGGCACAACTGTATACGCTCGTAGCCCAAATGGAAGCGCTTCTCCTGGGTACGAAGAATGGTCTCGTTGAATTCGGTCAAGTCGTGGACGTAAACCGGCTCTTTACCGCGTTCGTGTCGGTTGAGGCCATATTTGTCGATGAGTTTCCGAATACCCTGGGCTCGTTAGGACCATCCATCGTACGAGAGAAAACGACTCACGGCATTGATCTCCTCGCTATCTTCGGGGCTGATTTTTCTGCGATTAATTTGGCGATAGTAACCCCGAAATCCCTTCCAGTCCGCTCTGAGGGCGCTTGCTTTCGATATGCCTTTTAGATGTCGACCGTCCTGACCGCGCTTCAGCTTCATGCAGTAGTTGAAAAATCGGTAGATGTCGTTGGATGTAGATTGACGAAGAGCCTCTTCTGGGTCTTTCCATATTGGTGACGCATCAGACTTGGCGGTTTTCACCTGGCAGTACCTGTATTCGTGTTAAGATAAGCGTGCTAAGTAGTCTGGCTGAGTTCTCACTTGTGCCAGCGATGCTCGATGCGTTGTCTCCGGGTTTTGGTTTGGTCAGATTGTCCATAGTCAAGCGGCACATTTGCAATATCTTCATCCGTTTCATCATCCGGGTCATCACTGAATTCAGGCAGTCCGTCGAGGATTCTGGGCCGATTGGCAGAATGTCGAGAAAGGCTGGAGGACACATCGCCGTTATTGTGGAGAGGTAATGGCGCAGGAGGATTCAGTTCAATCGAAGACGTACTGGTGGTATCAGAAAAGTCTGAGTCATCAGAGTCGCATTGGTAAGACATGTCAGAAGTATCGCCATCGATCTCCATCGGTTGATTGAAGCGGGAGGGCGAGTTGCACGAGATCATGCTACACGCTACCGACGACGAATGCTTCTTTTCTTTGGAAATAGGAGAGATTGATGCAGAAAGAAAAAGGAGACTTGAACAAGAAGAACGGTGAAATGAAGATCTATTAAGAGGTTTGTAGAGGAGGTTGAGCCTGTTTAGCAGAGTCATTGGGGGAGTCGTGTGGTTTTATAGCCAGCAACGCCAGGGGCATCTTCGGCCAACACCTGCTTGGCTGTGCCATTTCGAGTCACCGCAGGGCCTGGGTGAAACCCAATAGACCGACCGAGGGGTGAGCGGAAGGTGAGTAGAATGCGATGGAAATGCATTACAACGGGGCAACTGATCAGGCCAAGCCCGCGCAGGGCCCCTGGATTCTAGAACATTACGTTTCCAGGACGAGGGTACGCGCGTGGCCGTAGTGGAAGGGTGCGTGGGCACGCCGACCGGTGCCAGGGAGGCCATTTTCGGCCGCCAGGCAGGCTGGAAACGGCCGCCTCGGCACAAATGCAAATTGTTATGTGGTACTCCTAGTCATAGTTGAGGAAGTAGCTAGTTACTACTATAAAGGCCTATTAAAAGGGAGACGTCTAATAATCTAACGCTAGTAAGATCTTTAAGTCTACTAGTAGGTGTTGTAGGATGCTCTATTGCTATTCTGCCATAGAGTCTCGTAGCCAGACTCGAATCGTTTTCGTAGTAGGAATATAAGGGCTCTATAGTGTAAGGCGCGTAAAAGAAATAAGGTCATAAAACTCTAGGTGTTTAATGAATTGAAAAGGAAGTTGTGACATAGCGAGTAGTCTTAGAAGTTTATGCTCCTATTCACCCTAGGTGAAGACTTTAGCTTTTAGAGCGTGCTTTGCCTAGTAATATTAATATCTTATAATAGAGAGAGAGAGATTGAGCTCACAGCGTCCTCCATCATCTGCTTAATACTTGGCCTTTTGGTACTCCTGCGACAGGTTGGGCCCTTGATGTGCTTATTCATAGAAGACGTTCCATGGCGGCCAAGGGCTGGATGTTCTAGAATAGCAGCATATACCTTATACATAACTATAGGCTTCCTAGTCTTTATATCTGCGACTTGTTCGAACTGTTTCTAATACTCAGACTAGTGATTTATGCCCTAATTTATTCGTTTTGTCGTCTTATATTCTATCATTAACTACTAAGCAACAAAGGCATCTCTTGACCTAGTAGTATATAGAACGTACTATCTATACTAGCTAGGGCTAACGCGTTAAAGGCCGTTAGGGATAGGAGGTATTAGTAGAGGCTAAGTAAAGTCTAAGTTAACGACTGAGGCTCTTTAGCTTCCTAAGGTCTCTAGTATGAATGGCTACGAATCCAGAGGGAAACCAAAGTAGAAAGGATCTAAAGAATTCCCCTTATAGACAGAGGAGGATGGAAGATTAGAGAAGTATAGAGATATAGTCACATAGCTTACAGAGAGACGAAGTATAAGGTTAAAGGAGAAATTAAAAGACTTACAAAAGTAAATAGTTAGTAGAATTCATAATGACTAGGGGACGACAAGGGGGGGTTCAGACAGCTCTACGAGCTGAAGGTTCGAAGTTGATAGATCACTATACAACCTACTTGGCAGCGGGACTCACCTCTCTTGATTAGCTAGGATATAAGGGTCGCGAGGGTCACCCTTAGATTTACACTCGTAAATTTGAGGGTCACCCGTGCGTGAGTCTCGTGATACTCACGACCCTTATAGTTTCTAAAAAAATCCACCTATGTCTAATTGAGTCCCGAAGATATACCTTTAAAAGCCGCATTAACCTCGTTTTATACACCTAAACAACACGTCTATTAGCCAACCTATCTTAATTACCTAAATAAAATTTCATACATAGTTAGTTGAAGTACTAAAGATTCATGAGAGTATTATTTAAATCTAGAGAGATTTCAAAAGGGTTCAATTTATTTTGGCGGTTTTACAATATCGATTATCCAAACTACTCGAAAACAGGTATAAATAACGGTATTTTATTGAGTGAATCAGCATTTTTATCCATCCGAATTAGGTAAAGCGTAGAAATTTTATGAAAATAAGGGTCTATGAGGGTCAGTGAGGGTCACCCGCGCGAGGGTATTTCTGAGGTCTAGGCCTGCCTTAACCAACCAGTTCCAAGAAGGACCCGCATTACATCCCGCACTTGCACTGGGTCCGCGGCGGCCGACGATTTTTAGGTATTTAGACTTTCTGAGATATCAGTTCCCATTGGCCCCAACGAAACCAGAACGGTCGATGCGGCCGCAACAAGCCGCACACGCGCTGGGGCGGGCGCAGAGCGCGAGCAGAGGACGAGCTTGATCCAACTGCTGCTCGAAATTGTTTGGAATCTAACCACACCCGGCGCAGAGTTCGCGGCACTTTATGGTACCAGCGACTAGTTCTTGGGGCCGAATGGGTTGAAACAGGAGTCATAGGGATACTTTAGCTAATACTTGCCTGCGAAGGAAAGTCGTATCAGCCGTACGCCTCAAGGAAGCACGTACACTTGCATGCGAGCAGTTCGTTGCATTAGTATTTTGTCAGATGCGTAAACTCGAAAAGCTTACTGCTTCACGGCCAATGGACAGACATGATTACGTTACCTTAGGAGCGGCCGTCGCTTCTCCAAAATCATTAGCAGGAAGCGAGCCGGGAAATTTGCTCCAAAACCGCTCCATAGGATTCCTTTGGTTAATACCAATCTTCACTGCGGGCGGGACTCCCGCATTCCCGCATCCGCTTGCCTCTCTGACCGTAGTACACGTGACGCGATCAATAATGTCAATTTGAATTTTTCCCGAGAATATTCCGCTGGGAGTTTATAAGAGGCTGCGTTACCAGAAATTTCTTAAGAGACGAGAGGAGTTAAGTTTCTTCACTGTTTGAAGTAGGATCCCAAAATATACACGTCAGCTTGCGTGGCTCGTCGCTCCGACATGCCTACGTCGAACTTCAATCCAGATGCAATCCCAGATTTGACCGGCAAGGTTTTTGTGGTCACAGGCGGGAATGCAGGCATGTGAGTCGCCCCTTGTTCTCCAACAAAGATAATGAACTAAGCGCCAATACCATTAGCGGTAAATCTACCGTCGTTGGTCTCGCCAAGCGTGGGGCTAAGGTTTATATGGGCGCTAGGAGTGAGGCAAAGGCATTCGCCGCGATTGAAGAGATCAAAGGGCAGCTCCCTGAGGCGAGCATTCAAATTCTTCTACTCGACCTGGGTAGCTTTGGGAGCGTTGTTGCGGCTGCAAGAGAGGTGAAAAGGTTTGTGGACATCTTTCAGTTGACTGAAACTTCCTTGCAAAAGAATTGAAAATCAAAAGATAGAGATACTAATAACGTTTCTTTTCTAAAGTAACGAAACCAAACTTCATGGGCTGGTCAATAATGCTGGGATAATGGGAGTACCTTATGAGGTCACGACCGACGGATACGAGTCACAATTCCAGGTTCGTTAAAAATTGATGATATGACAGAATCACAACCACTAAACTCTTCTGAAGACGAACTATCTTTCCCATTGGCTTCTTACTTACCACCTCTTACCACTTCTTCTGTCGACGGCTCGAAGTACTGATCCTGGCGGTGTCCGCATTATCAATCTCACTTCAGATGGACATAGCCTTTTCCCGCCCAAGGAAGGGATCAAATTCGATGATATCAATCTCAAGTCAAGTTCTTCAATGACACGATATGGTCAATCCAAATTGGCAAATTTGCTACACTTGAAGGAGCTACATCGGCGTTATGGTCCTGCTTCGCAAGATGAACCACAAGTCGGTGAGATTTGGACTGCTGCAGTACACCCAGGACACATTAACACGTAAGCTTACCTGTTTGGTCTTCAGTCAAATTCTGCAAAAATCCCATCTCGGTTTTGTGGTATAGTCAAAGCTGTTTTTGCCAATACTGACGCAAGTGTCGTTATAAAGTGATCTCAATCGACAGGCTACGGCTAGTGCGCCCTCTGCCATACTTCGCATTTTTACATCTTTTGGAAGCTGTGTTGGAATCCTGGCAACAGCAGATAAGGGCAGCATGTCGTCGCTGTTCGCTGTTGCTAGTAGCGACTTCAAGAGGAACGATGCAGGGGGTTACATTATCCCATATGCGCGCATAAGCACGCCCAGCGACCACGGGCAGAACTCAAAGCTAGCTTCGAAGTTATGGGATTGGACAGCGGATGAATTAGGCAAGAAAGGACTGCTATGAAATTAGCCGGCGATCTTATTTGTGTAATCGAAGTCTGCTTTCAAATTCGGCCCGCGGCTGTTAGGATGTTTGATCCAAATAAGCGACACAGCTTCTTGGAAAAGACAAGAAATCTTATGTCGTTTTTTGATTCTAAATATTATCAGAGTTTTCTCTGTCGACTTTGCTTTTCTCCATAGTTACTGGGTCATGAGTAGACGACAAACTTAGATGAGAACTCTTTGTACAGAAATTACCTTGATATAGCACTCATGCCAATGAGTTAGCTATCACTAGGCCAAGACAACAATTCAATATGATAGGAAATTATTCGTATCTGTAATCCAACACTGGTAGTTATTTTGAGGTCCAATGGACCATTGCAGTACGATTTACCAGGCGATGGTGCATACCTTACAAATGGAATTAGCTAACCTATTAGCAAGTCGTTACAAGAACGTACTTTCTTCCCCGTGCAAATATAATAATTGTCATTCTTCCGCCGTAAGGTTTACATAGTACTAAATATTGAAAAATTAAGCGTCCGGGGATAACGGAAAAATAATGAAAAGCTGCACATGCAGTATATCTGATTAGTGATGAGCACTGAAGTTATCCATCAAAAGAAATGCACGCTTCTACCTACCAATTCGTAGTTTAATGTGCGAAACCATTGTTCCATAACATCGTGTCTCATCCAAGCCTTCTCATTACAGCGCCACTTGCATCCAATAGAGGATATATTCACACACTTTCATATGTGTGGTGTTTTTGCGGTTTCAATAACCCAAGAAGGTAACCGATCCAAACCAGTCGCATTTGATGCGACGACGATGATTATCCTAGATTTATCTCTTTTTGACCAGGACAACCTTCAGATATTAGCCCACACAGTTAGGCACGTGGCGCCACTCAAGACTAGTCTTGTCCATGTTGTAGGTATCCTCCGGTGCGTATTCATCGCAGACGATCCGGATTGCTCTGGTCTGTATACCACTTGATTGAATATCGATGTTTGAAGCGATTATTAAATGTAGGCATGGTCTGATGTTTGTACATTAGTGTGTTCTTCCAGTATTCTGTTGCTTTGAGACGAACCAGGGGCCCAGTGATAGGAAACCCTTTTTTTGTGTGATGTCGTGCCACCGGAATAAAACCTCATCAAACAACCAGTTTGTGGTAGAGTTTTTCAATTCAATCTCAGCTTCGCCATTATCCAGGTAAGTACATTGGGGTGATTTGTTGAAATCTTCTTTTGATTAGATATTCTGCCAAATTTCTCATGAAACCCCGCTGCCCAGCTTTGGACGCGTATCAGATGCCAAGATATGCAGGGTTCTTATCTTAGCATCGGTTATGGTGTTTAGATAGGGCAATTTCGCTGAAGGCGTGACCGAAGACTGGACCGAAGGAGTGCTTAGGGCGAGGTTCGGCGAGGACGAGGTAGAATCCTGCATCGTGATTCATTCATCAAGAAAGGGGGAAGAAAAGTGTGCGGATCGTGAATAGTACAGCCCATGAGAGTTGAATGTGCTTCTCAATTGGCTGGCGCTGTTTGTTCCGGGTATATATCTCTTAGTGAAAAGGGCCATGTCAAGGCCCTCTTTTTGGAAACATGCGAATTCATTCCATCCCCAGAGCATACCTTGGGCCGCTTTTCGGACAAACTTTTGCAACCTTTGCGCCTGGAACAAAAAAATCTAGAGGGTCGCTCTGGCTTACCAGAAATCGGGTTTAAAAGATAAAAGTATTAACATGGTGTACGCCGTCAAACGTTGAAAATGGCTGATGCAAAAATAAGCAAAACAGGATTCGAATACGGATTATTTGTTTCAGCATAATAGTCTAACCAAATGCTTGAAAGTTCTGCGTGCTACTATAGGTTGTTTCGGTTTAAGCACTTTTTATTTCGTAAGTTAGCCTTTCTAGCCGTGGCAGCTCTCCGCAGCGGTCAAAGGAAATCATGAACGAAAGCACCTTCACCTGATTCATCTGTTTCTCGTAAGAAACTATACATAGCAGCACTGCAAATATTCGGGATCCAGCCAAAATCCGATAAAGCTTCCTCAAGCCCTTGCCAACTCCGTATGCCAAGCAATCTTACTAGGCCCCTCGCTCTCTTTCGATACCAGTCAAGTTGCGATTTTGAAGCACATAAAGATCCAGATATGACCGTGCACCACAAATCAAGCTTCAATAATTCACGTGAATAGGTGCATATTGGAAGAAAGGACAGCAGATCTTCGATCTGGGAAACGGCAAGCTCTCTTGCGTCCTTCGAATGCGGGATAGGAAATATGACCATAACACCATACAATTGAGCTGCCAGACGACAGGCACGATATAAGGATTGCAAAAGAGCCCTATCCGTTAGTCCTTGTTCAAAGGTAAAAGGCGTTTTTTCAACATCAATAAAAGGTGGAAGCGATAGAAGTGAATGCATTACCACCTCCCGACTATCGAGAAGATCGTCCATATCGACCTTCGAGATCCGGCCAGTACAATAGACGTCCAAGATGGAAGAAAATTCGCCTATTGAGGTGAAAGTGCATATTACTTCTTTAGACAAGCCAAGGAGTTTAAGAACGTGAAATCCGGTACCCATGCAGGGACGGTAGTTTTGCAGAATATCCTCAGGATTAATCTCTGCATAGCGCAACATCCTAGGCGGCTTTCCATTAACGTCAAGTAGAGAAGTAGGCGGCAACGAAAGCGTATTCGAGGCAACGATCAATCCAGCACTAATCAGGCGTAAGCCATTAATACAAATAAATAAGCAAACCGTGAAACTTATATTAATGACATACCAGCTAATCACCCATGGAAGTCCAAATGATTTTATATTTTCTATTCCACCAATTCGTTTCAGCAATTGTACGACAGCGTTCCAATGGACGTTTGGACATGCAAAAGCGCCATAAGTGTCGAGCCAGCGGCTACTCGTTAAGATTGGGAAGAAAGGAGTCGGATCTCGGTCTGCTAGCAGCTCCTGGCCTTGCACATTTGTCGCAAGGCAAATGGTCATCATTAAGAGGACTTCCATCTTCTCGGCGGACATAGGTTCTTCGCAACTGTTGATTTGTGCCCTAACACCCCTCATAGTCCTGATCTGCAGATTCGTAAGCTCGTTTTCAACCTGAGGCCTTTTCCCGATTAATGCCAAGCGAGATGTCTGATGGCATAAGGCTGCGAATAAAAGCGAGTTGTATAACGGAGGATCGTCGAAGCCGCGTGGGAGCCAATATGAGGCAAATGGATTGGCAATTCTATTGGAATTTTGCCGGAAGCCAGGCCATAACTGAGAAGTTATGTGATGAATAAGCTGCCTATCGCGAGTGCTCCCTGGGGCAATAGGCAGCAGGCCAAGTGGGCCAGATTCCAGCTTATTTCCGCCAGTTTTGTCTCCGCGAAGGTCATTGTGGACCGATCGACTGTCCGATCTTGATCTGTTTTTCAGGATGCGTGGGTTGTTTTCTTCGAGCTTTGAATACGAATCGCTATCTGAGAATCGCCTTTCCAGTAATTTCTGAGCGATATGGCGGCGGACGTTTGTTCGCTCCTTTTCCGTCACACTCCCGTCATGCTTGCTGTGCGCGATAAAAACGAAATCATCTTTCTTGTCCGTAGGGTTCATTTTATGCATGTGGAGATTGTTGAGACGATCAGAGAATCGAAAGAGAGAGAGCAGCAATTCGAAGTCGAGAATCGTTTTGCCACGTGAGCTTCTGTGGTTGTCTGTCTGCATCATCAGACTTCCATTCCATAGAACGGCTTCAAGTGTGACAGTGGGCCCTTTTGATTAAATAAGGAAAGGTCGTAGCAAACCAATCAGGCCCTAGTTGTTGAGATTGCGGATTCCATTGCGGAATACATGCGACCGCGGAACATATAACTTGGAGCTAATACATCCCCAAATGCGGATGATTAATGGCTAAGCTTCGGAGAGCCACTTAACCGTATACGGTAAAATTGACCAAAATCAGACTAGTCAACTCTTCGCTGGCCCGCCCTCATTCGCCTCGTACGAATTTCGGAAGTTGAAAAAGTCTTAGATTGAGTTTGTCTGCTTTCAGAGATCCGCAACGCCCCACAATTACCCCCGATTTAAGTGCGAAGAATCTAAAACGTCCATTATTATTAGGAACATCTGTCAAAATCTGGGCGTACGACAGTCCCACATGGACGTGTAATTCACGAAGAAATAAATCACTGATTCAGATAAATTTGGGAATGCCCGACAATTTAGAGGGCTTGCTAGCTAGTAAATGACTAATACATAATAGGAAATATTGATGAGGGATAAAATCACTGTATGTGATCTGTAGGAATTCCAATTCTTAACAACATCCTCTCGTGAATTCAAGATTGTTCAGAAAAAATAATTATTGAACTAACTTAATTCACGAGCGAGTCGCCACCCACTCGCCTATGTACTACTTTGAACCTATTTTTTTAACCGAAACGCCTTTATATCAATTTTCCTACCTAACTGGGCATGTAGGAGATTTAGGCACTATCTCGCCACATATAGTACAGGTGTATTGACGCCGTCGCGCTACTGCTACCGCTTGCTGAATAGGCTGCGCGGACAGTGCTGGCGACGGTGCCGTAGGCTGTATAGGAGGCTCAGGGGCTTGCGTAAGGTCCTGAGCTTCCTGAGCTGATAGGCCTGCTAGAGCGGGTATCTATCTATTTGACCGACGCCGTTTTGATTCTGTTTTTCATTCGTTGCGCGTAATTGCTTATGTTCTTGCGCTAGTAATAACACGCTTTTCAAAAACCAAGTCCGCAGTCTGCCTTGTAGGTGTTGGTTGGCTTTCTGACCAATATTTAACCAATAATAATGCTTGTTTAGAAATTCTGCTATCATTGCGGGGGTTTTTGGGGTACAAAGCTAGATCGGCCGCTTGCACGACTTCCTCAGGGTGTAGGTGTCCGAAGCTGGATATTGAGCTTTGAAAGCACCCGATCTGCGTTCAATGGCACTAAACCTGCGGCCGCGAAGCTAGCTTTAGTTGCAAGCGCTAAAAATTCCTTCCTTGCCGGTCAATCCGGTATTGCATCTGGATTGAAGTTCGAAGTAGGCATATCAGTGTACCAAGACATGCACACCAATTAACGCGCGTATCATGAAACTGTTTCACTCTCACAAGGTGAAAGATATTGGCAGAGGGGGTCAAATATGCTTGGAGCAACCGAAAGCTCCACAGAAAAAGGGGTGGGTCCACATGATGACTGCAGATCATCGATCAGGTTCGCATCCGTCCACAGGTGGATGCGGGGGACAGCCCGCAAAATTCCCCGATTGCGAGTATAACCCAAAACATAGTTCATGAGTGGTTTGCTAGGCGTTAATGAACTTAATAAATGAAAATGTGGAGACAGTCTTGGTCCATATCTTGACCCCTGCCCAGCACAATCTCACGGTATGGAATTTGAAATGCGAAAAAGTCAAAAAGGTCATAAAGCCGAAAACTGATTCATAATGCTTTTCCATTTTAGTAAACTGTTCTTACATTTAATTTTTCCATCAACCCTAGAATTCTCTGGTACCTGTGTTTCAATCTCCCGACTCTTGCTTTTCGTATACTATAAACAGCTCCCTTTATTCAGCGCAATAGCATAAGTTGGTACAAATGTGAATTGCACGATGCCGTAGAAGGAATCTTAGGACAATAGACTGCCTTACTATGATCAGTCACTTCTAGCACGCACATTCCCATGATGGATCCTCTCCAGCCATGGAGTTGCGGCCGCATCGACCATTTGCGGTCCAAATGCGGGTCTTAATGCAAGCACATTCTAACCAATCAGGTTTGGTATGCCCCAGAAAATAGAAATTTCAACGCGTCAATAATGTCCCTCTGCGGCCGCAAATTTGCGCACAATTTAATCGACCCGGTTTTGACCGCAACCCAACTTCCCTATCCTTTCCCTCCCACTTTTCCGCCCTTGCCTGCTCTCTGAATTTAGCAAGACACCTTGTTTTTCCCAAGATCCTTGCTCTTCTAGTTCCTACGACCATGGAAGATGAACATCGGGCGGGCACTTGCTCCGCCAGCCACGCTTGTGCCTCGTGCAAGAAGAATAAGCGACGTCGTGTTAAAAATATCCCGAAATGTATATTGTGTACGAAGTCTGTACTTTGAATTCTAGTTTACTCTTACATCCACATTTCCTACTATTATCATACGTATAGAAGCAGTCGACTCTGTGATTATTGACAAATTTTAGCCACTCTGACGGAGTTAGAGATTTGCGAAGCCGACTATGGGAGCTAGAAAACCGCGTTCAATCTTCAGCCAGCCAAAGAACTAGTAAGCACCTAACTGCAGCACCCAATCACGGATCTTCCGCTGACTCTCTGCTTTCCCCTGAATTATATGTTAAACTATTTATCTGGACTCAGATCTCTGGTCTTTATGCGGCATTCATAGTCACCCTGACCAGGTCCCCTTTCTGGACCATATGTACAGAATCCTTAGAGGCCAATCTGATATTGACATTTCAAAATGTCATTATTTTCAATCTTTGCATACATGGATGCAGGGAAAGGTTGTCGGTATTATTCAACTGTCTGCTTTAATGGTTCCATCACGCTGCTCTCTTCATGATCTGGCTTCGCTATCGCCAGATCCCTCAATTCACGACCACGACCCAGATGGCTGGCAAATCATTGATAATGGAGATCCGCGCGACAATTTCTACAATGATCTGCCCTTGGCTGATGGCAATTACTGGGTTGGCAAGCTTCAAAAGCAGTCATCTGCCGCTTTTGCTGATCGTGATAATGTCTACCAAGGCTGGGCTGATGTACCAGTCTGGTTCCTTTACTGTACAGATGATCACGCCTTTCCAGTCAAGATACAGGAATCAATGGTGTCGGGGGCGATGAAGCTTGGGGCTGCAGTGACAACTGAATACATTACCCATGGACATATTCCGTTTCTAAGCAAGGCAGATGATACAGTCTACTTCATCGGCGGCGCTTGAAAGTCCCTACAAAGCAGCGATTCAATCTCGCAACCACCGATATCCACCACTAATGTATGACAGCATGGTAAATATTTATGTTAAATCAATCACACCTATAAACATGTCAGCTACTTGTGCGGATCAGTTATTGTATGTAAACTAAATGGATAAGTATCAACATGCCACACGACTTGAAAACTCTTAAGCTTATGCAATTTGGAGGGATGTCTCTGAGTGAATCCATTGACAGAACTGCAGCCCACTGCACCGCCAAATGAGTGGTTTATCAACACCACGTCTCGTCCCACGGTTGTCGCGACTTTGAGCAGCTTTTGATTCAGATTCATGCTACTCACAATGGATTTAACAGGTGTCGCTGTGCCACTATAGTCCAGCTGGGGGGCAATGCATTCGTAACCCTGCTGTCGCAATAGTGAAACTACATACTTCCAGCATTCTGGAGTATGCCAGGCGCCATGAACGAAACTGAGAAGGGGCTTCGGGTCCATTATTGAAAGCAGGTGGATATTTATGTCAAAAACTCCATCCATACTCTATGTGAGTAAGTGGTAGCGCTCTGGCTTAATGTACTACGAATATAGCACCTGGATGAAACTGATTTTACAGTCACTGCTACCAGATCAGGGACTGAAGATTCCCACTAAGGGATAGTGTTACCGAGTTTGCAGAATAAATAAGGTTTAGGGAGGTGTCACTTTCCTAAACAGGGTAATACCGAAAAGCGAATTGGATATCGTAGCGCCACGCCACGAACGGTGCTTGTCATGAACCATCTGAATTTCCCCTATTTACGAGGGCTCTTAGCAAGGTCATTCAAGTATGTGGAATGGATAGGTATTAAGTTCCTTGAAAAAGTGAAAGCAAAAGTTTAGCGTCGTGCACTGCAAATCCCCTCTCTTGTCGGACTTTATTGGTTACCAATAAGCAGAACCCTATTTTCAGTCCTTGTCTTTTCATCTTGTGCGCTCTGTTTGTTCATTTTCTGTTTGAACTTCCCTGTTGGCTTTGGTGGCCGTCTAAAAACCTACCATCTCTGTGTAGCCTACGGCGTTTTCTTGCGATCCAGAGGAAGATTGCTGTCACTTTGGCCAGAAACTTTACAATTTATATACAGTTTCCAACTTCTAGACTTACTTCCAATTATATCTGGTAATTCTGTGAGGCTAGCAATTGATTCTGTTACAGTATAATAAATATAATATAGACTCATCTTTGAGCTAGTTGACGTAACCAGTAAGCGAGCCGCCCACCCAGCCTCTTCGCTCGATCTTTGACTTTATGTGACCGGGCGTCTACCAAGGAGAAATCCAGCAGAGATCAGGAAGTCATATTGGGTACAGTGGTCGACGGGACATCGAAGATGGGGAAGGGAAAGAAGAGGGAGAAACAAAGAGAACTATCTACAGAAACAGAATGTTGGTGAGTGTGTGTCCAATTGGAAGGGGCCCCGGGGGGAGCCCAACTATCTAGACTATGAGCTGACTAAGTGAGGTCGAACCCGGGATCACGTGACCTCTGTACGGGCAGTGCTCCAACACCTCCCCTCGAGCGAGCGCGTCAGCTAGCTAAAAGAACAGCATAAAATACATGAAAAGAGTGACATGTAGATGGAGAATAGAATAGAGCATTAAGCGGGAAAATCAGAATAGCTTTGAAGCTGATTTGCTGATGTAATTAGAAGAAATAGTTTGTCAAATGGCTTGGAAACCAATTTGTTGGAGAAATCGACAATGATTCTCGCGATTCAGGGGCTTGGTCAGGCCGTCTGCTGCCATATCCTGTGTGGGAATTTGGCGTATGGTAATGATGCTCTGCTGGATCATATCGCGGGTGTAATGGAAGCGGATGTCAATGTGCTTCGATCGCTTCGTACCCATGGTGGCTGTGGTGAGATCGATCGCACCCTTATTATCCATGTTCATGGGGATAGGGGCGTTGGGGATTAACTTCATATCACTCATGATTTTGCTAATCCACCAAGCTTCGCGGGAAGCCTCTGATGCTGCGATGTATTCGGCTTCATTAGAGCTTGTGGCAGTGCAGGTTTGCACCTTAGAGCTCCATGAAATTGGTGATCCGGATAGCATGAAAATGAATCCACTGACAGATCGTCGACTATCAGTATGTGGTCCACCCCAATCAGAATCGCTGAATGCTATAGGGGTGCCAAGCGGTGTATCGCCCATAGAGCGATGGTAGTTTAGACCTAGTTCTCTTGTGCCTTTCAGGTATCGCATCGCATGCATCAATGCATTCCATGCCTTCCTTGTAGGTCCAGAATTGTATCTTGCGAGTAGACAGGCCGTACGACAGATATCCGGTCTGGTTCTGGTAGCCAGATACTGTAGACTTCCCGTTCCGCGCTGGAATTCCCTAGTAGGGATCGTTGGATCTGGTTCGTCATCAATTAAGATGCCAGGATCCAAAGGTGATTTGGTGGCATGCGCGTCGGCGATGCCGAATGATTCGACTAGTTCATCGATATATGTGGACTGCGAGATCTTGATCCCTTTGTCGCTCACATCGATGGCTGTGCCGAGGTAATGCTTGATTGGACCTAGATCTTTGATTTCGAACTTAGTCTTCAAGGCATCGATTACTTCGCGAGCATCATCTTCACGTTGGGAGACGATCTTGAAATCATCCACGTGCGCTGTCAAATATAGATGAGGTCGTGTAGTAGAGATGAATAGTCCCGCGTCGTACGGAGACACGCGGAAGCCGATCTCAATGAGATAGCTTGTCAATGTATCGTACCAAATTCTGGCTGATGGTGTGAGTCCATAGAGCGATTGATTAAGCTTACAGACTAGATCATCGCCCTGTTCGAAGCCAAGAGGTTGCCTCATATAGATGGTATCGCGAAGCGTCCCGTTCAAAAAGGCGAGTACGGCATCAGCTTGAAGAATTGACCAATTGTAGTGCGCGGCAACTGCGAATAGAATCCGTGAAGTTGTAGGTGAAACTACTGGAGCATATGAATCACGATCGAATTCAAAGTGCGCATTTGATAGGAGATTCCCTCTAACCACCCATCGTGCTTTGAACTTGGTTGATCCGTCATCATTCTTTTTCTTTTTGTAGACCCACTGTCCGGGAATTGCTCTAGATGCCGATGGTATATCAGAGCGTCGGACGAGATCCCAACAATTCTTCTGGTTTAGAAGGTCGATTTCTGTTTGCATTGCAGCACGCCATTGGGCTGATTCGGCGCTTTGGGTAGCTGCTTTGAATGATTTTGGAGTTGAATGATCGACTATATCGTTGGTTGGGTGATTAATCTGGACTACCGCGAATGCTTTAGCTGGTCGTACTATAAGCTCGCCGTCTGTAAGGGGTTGGTCGTCCGATTTGACGGTAGGCGGAGTAGTCGGAGAATCCTCTTGATTGATAGACGTTGGAGGTTCGAAATGTTCGTCGATGACAGCATTGTTGACTGTCTTCACAGTATTCTTTTCTGGGTCCCAAACCCGGACGATGGTAGGCGAGGTATGGCCCACTAGACGCGTTTTCTTTGCTCGCGCATCGACCTTGCCTTTTGGCTTGTCCGGACCATGTAGATGGATCCACGCGATTGACCCAAATTTCCGTATGTAGGAGATATCTGAAGGTGAATTTGTCCACGCTGTGTACGGCGTGGTATAGACCGATTGCTGGATAGCATGGTTCGCGGTTGTCCCACCTGGTGTAGGGTCATTGTACAAAGGGATACGTGTAGGGAGTCGATTCATCATGTAGATAGCTGAGTCGAGGGCTTCCTTCCAAAGAAATTTAGGAAGTCCTGAATCGAAGAGCATTGCTCTGGCTTTCTCATAGATAGTTCGGTTGCTCCGTTCGCTTACACCATCTTCCCATGGTGACTCTGCTGGTGTAGGTTCCCAATTGATGCCATATTTGAGGCATAATTGTCGGACATTTTCTGTGACAAACTCGCGATCTGATCGTACGAAGGCAGGTGCACCGAAACCTTGATTTTTCATGTGCTCGAGCCATTGTGCGAATGCCGCGACTGCTTCTGATCGATTACGAAGGAAATAGATCCATCGATATCTAGTGGCATCGTCCGTGATGAGCGCGAAATACCGAATTCCCTTCGTGCCCGGAGGGACCTGATCATCGTCGCATGCAAGCGTCCGCCCTCCCCCTGCGATATCAATGTGTACACGGGAGAGAGGCTTCGTTGCCCTATATGCGGTAGTTTTGTTGATCCGTCTAGTCTGCTTGGCTTGTCTACAGACGTCGCAGAACGGTAGGGTCTTTCGTCCTTTGATCTTGATGATTGAAGCTTTCGCGAGCTTCAAGATATCGCGTGGGTTCAGATGTGATAGGCGTTGATGCCATTCTGTCATCGTGAGAGCCTTGGGATCAGGCTCTTGTGGGCTGGTGGTGATCGTCAGATTTGACCGTGTACGAGCCTCCCCTCGAGTCGTAACCTTAGCTATAAGCTGGTGGGTTTGTGGCTTCGCAAGGTAATAGGTCTGATTGTCAATGTGCGGAAGCGCATCGAATCTTGTACCGTCCGGCGATTGGAAGCGGAAATGCTTTGGCGAGTCATTAGATAATGAAATTTGGAATCCCTGCTGATCTAATTGGCGAAATGACAAAAGATCCGAAGCAATTGTAGGGATGTAGCGAACGTCTGGCACGGTGAGCTTGATGTCATCGATATTGATCTGTATAGTGCCGTATCCTGCCACGGTATGTACTCGCCCGCCCGCATCGTCAAATTGGTCAGACAGTGAAGGCTTAGGATCATCTAATTGAATAAATAGATCCTTTCTGGAAGTCATGTGCTTTGAAGCGGCTGTATCTAGAATCCATTGTGGAGTCACTGGGAGCGCGCGAACTGCATTCGCCTGCGGATTCCGTACGATAAGCTCTGTGCTCTGATTTTGATTCGATTTTGAGTCTGAATTTGAATTTGAATTTGTATTTGGACGCTTCTCTGGATGGAGCGACCAACAATCATCTACCTTATGGTATCCTCTACCGCAGTGCTCGCAGAGCTTCTTCTGTTTCTTTGGCTCTGAGTGCTGCTGTGGTTGTGATCCAGATTTCGGCTTCTGATCTGACCTTGTGGTTTTTGGGGGACTCGTCCGATATTTATCCTCAAGCTTGAATTCTTGTGGATTTTGCGGTAGGTATTGCCCTTTGGTGCTCTGTTGAGCTCTCGCGACCAATTGATTGATAAAGGTCTTGATATCGAGATTCTGGATCGGTCCACGACCGCAAGCATACAATTCATCTAGCTTCGTTCGTAAGAAATGCTGCTGCCATTGGCCAAGTAGACAGATCAGGTAATCATGGCAAAAGTCATCGAAGGACATATCCATTTTCCCTAGTCGTGAGATAATTCGTTGGTAGTCGAATATCATGCTCACATAGTCGCCTTGCGGATTTAAATCCAATAGCGCTTTGACCGTCATTAGGCGCTCCTCTGCGAGAGAGATGCCATAGACTATATTGATTTGGGACCATAGTGCAGCTGCACTAGTAGTGTCTCCCCAGTTGATGGTTGCTTTGATGTGTGGGCTCATGGATTGTAGAAGTCTTGTATAAAGAACTTCGTTTTGCTTATCCCATCGGGTTGTATCGATGGCATCCACAAAGGGTGAAGATTCTTGATTCTCTTCAAGAATATACGTGGCATCAATCATGTACGCATCAGAAAGTATTGATTCTCTCCATTTGATGTAGTCGTCGCGACCATGAAGTTGGATTGGCTTTGTTGCAAGCCTTTCCTTCGCCAGTTTTCGAATCCGCTCCCGTTCCTCATTGAGATCACTATTTCGCGGGGTATTGGGCTTATCCCCTAATAGCTGAGCGCGTAGTTCACTTGTGATCTGCTCACGAAGCTGCTGCAATAGTTCGGTAGAGATTTGGGGCTTCGATTGATGTAAATTGTCATCGACAGAATCATCGGATAAAGGTGTCATTACCGATGCATCGGTTGGTCGTCCGCTACGGCGTGGAGCCATGATGGTGAAGGACTATTTGCCTAGTAGGCGCTTTGTAGTGATTTGACGAGTGCTTTGATTAGCTTCGTCTGTCTACCATCCCTTGATTGGGTCTAGGTAGGCGAATTCGAGCTATACTAGCCCGAAACTTTGATCTGTGGATCTGAGAAAAAGCTCTTGATGATCCGCTGTCGTATATTCAGGCTCAACGACAGACAGACCAAGGGAAAGAGGACAACACGGGTCTCATAACCTGTTGGTGAGTGTGTGTCCAATTGGAAGGGGCCCCGGGGGAGCCCAACTATCTAGACTATGAGCTGACTAAGTGAGGTCGAACCCGGGATCACGTGACCTCTGTACGGGCAGTGCTCCAACACAGAAATCATATCACGTGCTCAAGGTACAGCCTCAGGCTGGTCACACTTTATGATGAATTTCTAAAACGCGCAATGCATCAGAAAGCCAATCCTCTGTAAGAGAGGAAATATCGTCCGTGGTCGATGACAAGTGACGACGTTGAAGGACTAATCTATTCGCCAGAGAAGACTTGGCGGACTTGTAGCACATCGTATATCACATGCATGAAAGTTTGTGGTAGGAAAACCTGGGTGAGTAAGAGATGGTCGTTCATCAAAAACACAATTGAGCAAGCATCCCTTCGACTATGATGTTTCAGTGCTAAATCATCAAGAGATGAAAAAGAGACATTTAGTGAACGATCCTCTAGGCAGCCTCCAATGCGCAGCGGAAACAAAGTTGAAAAAGCGGCAGTGAAGTCGGATCATCCCAATAATCCAGGAGTGCAGCCTGAGCGTGAATTTTGATCTAGTTCTTGCTACTATTGCTTGGGATGTGCTTTCAATTTCTACGACTAGAGCTAGTATTGAACGGCTTTTTAATACTACTCGGGATATTTGCTACTATCGCCTAGGCAGATTAAATGCTACTACTATCCAAGCGCTATTAATGTTCCTCTGTAATTCGAAATTTCATATAGAAGAAGAGTAGTTTACCTTCTTAAAGGACTTCTTCTCCCAGGATTGGATTAAAGCATCGAAAGAAGAGCGAGATTTTACACTAGATCAAGCTAAAATCGTTCTAACTAGTGACAATGAGGATAAGGACTAAGAAGGTGAGGAAGAGGTTTCTAAAGATGAAGATGAAGTCTATCATCTACCCACATCTAAAAAGGCAAATACTCAGATACGTGCCTCAGTGGGGGCCCGAAAGCGTCTGAGACGAGAAGATAATCAGTTTATATATTATTAGTTAACGTAATTGTACAACGAAAGTCACAACATACCGAAAGTCACACTTTAATCCGCTCACATAATAAATATCGCGATAATTCCACCACAACGCCTAAAATCAATTGATACTACTACTAATCTTCTTCCTCAGACGTCTCTATTACAATCTGACAGGTGCGTGTGTTATGTCCGGTCTCGCCGCAGTTGCTATAGCGCCGCGCACGCGTTTCTTGCCTTGGTTTTCGACTACTACGTGCCTACGTTTCCTGCTTTATCTGCGGCATAATGTCCCTCTCATCTTGCCAATCTTGTGCTTCCTGTTGACTAAGTGATCTACCTTGCCGTAGACGTGTCTTTTTAGCCCTCCGGCGTATACTAAGCTCTTCATTTGCTTGTCGAAGGATCTAAACCTCTGACTGCAACAACGCCAATTTATGCATAATCTTCGACGTCCCTTTCGCAAACTGGTCAATAGCTTCGTAAATTGAGGTTAGAGAGCTATTATTATAATAGGCAATGCGATTCTTGATGAAAGTAGTCTGCGAGGTGGCTTCGATTGGGTTATTAGGTATCTGAGAAACCTAGGGTTTAGGGGTTCGGGGGCGGGAAGTTGTAGGTGTTGGCGTCTTTAACTTAAGATCTAGTCTAGATATCACACTTTCGGGGTCAAATGGAATAAGTCTAGCACCTCGGAAACCTCCTTAAATGTTGCTTTCCGTTATTGTAGCAAAAAATGCGCTACGAAAGGCGGGGAAGAAGTCGTCATTCGTAATATAGGTGATATGAGCCCGCATCATATCCTCGATGTGTCGGCTATATACCTTCTTCAATGGGCTAAAACACCCAATATCTAGTGGCTAAAGGATATGAGACGAATAAGGAGGCATACAAAGGGTGATAATGTTGTTTCCTTTGTAGTATTCCTCAAATTCGTCCGAGTGGTGGCTCTTATAGCCGTCGAGGATCAAAAGGCGATAGCAACCTGTAGTTCGGGCTCTAGTATGCTTCTCAAAATGCCGGATCTAATCCACGCCTTTCTCATTTATTGTCTAGCCGTTATTAGTAACAGCGATTACCTAGTCAGGTAGGAAACCACTATTTTAGTACTAAGACGAAAGGTGATTTTTGCCTACAACAATGATAAATGGCGGCACCGTCTAGCCTTGGGAATTAACGCCCTGAATTACTGTAACCCATTCCTAATTACTAGGCTATAGCTTTTTTGCCTTTATACGTCCCTCTGAGCTTGTGACAACTGTTGCGGTAGAGATAACGCCCATCATAAACCCAGTCTCGTCAAAGTTGTAGATATCTGACTCTATAATGCCGTACTTCGCGATTGTATTGCGCACAAGCTCAAACCAGCCACGAATGATGACTAGATCTTTGCACTTAGCTCTCTAGTAGTCATATCTCCGTTGAAAGCGCGTTCAGAGCTCTAGGCGGCGATTAATAAACCTAGAAGCCCAACGCATCCTAACGCGTGGCGCGTCGCGTGTCGCGAGAAGCCGATTTGCCATATCTCTAACAATAGACACTCGGGGGGGGGGGGGGTGGGGGATCCTTTGATAGCTAAATCGAGGATATATTGAATAAGGACTGATTCCTCTAGATCGGTCAAAATTCGTGAATTGGCCAGAATATCGCGTTATGATTGTATACCGCGCTTGCGACGACTCAGCTTCTCGTGGTCCACAGAATAGATCCTCCCTGCTGCTCGAGCGCTTAATTTTGGGTCATTTTGCATAGCTTGAAGGGCTAACATGACCTGCCTTTCGTCATTTTTTTGAGGCATCTTTTGTTGTGGATGAATTTGGTGTTTGGTGGAAGAGACGCGTGAGCGGATTAAAGTGTGACTTTCGGTATGTTGTGACTTTCGGTGTACAATTACGTTATATCTATAGAGTAATTTAATCTGTCTCATTCAACTAGCGCCTTAAACTAGTTAGATTAGAGTAATAAAAAGTGAGTGCTTTTGAGCGGGTTTTCTTGCTTAAGCTGCTGCAAGAGAAAAACGTATGATTAAAACCTAAAACTGCACAAAATATGCAGCCACGAGCCTTTCTTATAATTGCACTGTTCAATACCCAATTGGGTACCCAATTACCCACGTGGGTAACCCGCGACTACCTCACAAAAGCTTTATACTAATATTATGACTAGTACCTCTCGATATTCGATTTGACGGATTAGTGAGCAAGTTTTAATTGCGAAAAGAGCTACAGAAATTGCTCCATTAGAGCCATGAAAAAATGGATTCACAAGTATCCACCCATTCTGGCGAATAGATCTTGATCAGGGTTCAGATTATCGTCCATTTTTGGAACCTGAGATTCCAGTGCTTAAGCCTAAAAAAAGGAAGAGGAAGGAAGTGCAGGCAGTTGAAATCATTGGAGAGCCTATACAGAAGAAGAAGAAGGCGGCCCCAAAGTGCTCTACATGTGGTGAACTTGAGCATACACAAAGATCACGTAAATAAGACACAGAATGAAATTCAAATACAATCACATGACAATTTCTGATTATATAATCTTGCCTATTACATAAGGTGTTCTGTCCCTATCAATTCCCAATTTTCCCCTTTTTGGCCACCTTGTCAAGGAGAACGGCCGCTTTGGCAAGATTACAACTCGACATATGCAACAGGTATTCTTGCTCCGTATTTCTAGTGTTTATATACACCCTGGCTTACCATTACATAACCACCAACTCTCAAGAGATAAGATATGGATACCGGGGCTTCTAGCGAAGCTAATATTGCATCGCATGCTTGCGTTTCATGCCGGAAGAATAAGCGGCGTTGTGACAAAGAGTTGCCCAGTTGCTTCCTATGTGTGAGGTTAGACTCATATTAACCTTACTGGGTCAAAAAACTCTACCAAACAGGCTTTCACTGATTTATGATGATTAGGGCAGGCCGCTTCTGTGACTATTCATATCTCCCACAAGTGGACTCTTCATGCGCCATGAATGATCTACGATCTCGTGTAGATGAACTAGAACATCGTGTCGTACAGTTGTATAGCTCGACACCATTCTCACATGCTATCACAGACCTGCCTGCTTATAGCGCTACACTGCGCGAACAAAACTACCCTAATCTCTATGTACAGGCCTTCTATCTCGACTCGGATGTCTGGTCATCTTCCGAGCTCACGCGTCAGCCCAACAATATCATATTGTCTGCGGAAGTACTGGCGTATCTTGATAACGTTGACGACATAAAGCGCAAATATTTCAACTCCGCGCATGTCTGGATGCCCATCATTAGCAAGATGCGGTTTGATCGCTTGACGCATTCAGGAGTGGGAAGAATCAGACCGGATGTTGCATTGTTGCTTCTATGCATGAAACTTGTGTCTGGCGGGATGGCTGAAGATGAAAATAAGCCATCTGACCTGTATATGACGGCAAAACAGGTCTGTGTGACTTTGGAGCGCGATGGACTGCTTACCTTGCGCTCCCTGCAGGCCAGTCTTCTGTTAGCAGTCTATGAAGTAGGTCATGCTATTTATCCTGCTGCTTCATTGACTCTCGGTCGCTGTGTGAGACAAGGGACTGCGCTCGGCCTGCACAACAAAGACGCCCCTCAACTGGCGGGTAAGCTCCGCAGCTGGGTGGATTGGGAAGAACGACAGCGTGGATGGTGGATGATTGTCATTCTCGACAGGTCAGTAAGCCTTTTTGCCTTGCTGTAGAACGAACCTCTTTTGTCGTCGCTGATCTACCCCTCTGGTTCCAGAATATTCCGTGGTAATCTTTGTATCAGATTTATTGTGGTCGGAACGAGCAACCAGCCATTATGCACAGATGATCCGAGTAAGGATACCATACTTCCAAGCTGCGAACCTGCCTGGGATAGTGGTGTAAGTTTCAAACCAGAGACTCTGAGAAGCCACTGTGCAACATGATTAATTTTGCGTATCAGATCATTGTACCCCCAGTACGTGTCCTGCTTTCTTCTATGGATACAGATCCAACGTTGATCAGCCCATTTGCACGTCTTGGTCAAGCCGCCAACCTACTTGGCCGGGTTATCAGACACTGCAACGATACGACTGCGGACGTAGAACATGTCCTCGAGAATGCCGAGCTCCTTTTTGGTACAATAACCTCGCTTCTTGATATCCTCGCTACAGATAATCACGCGAGCCATCCATCGTCCAATGCTGCGACTGCATTTTGTCTTAGGTATATAGTCCCATCTACTCTCAAACTTCTCTTTTGAAACCCTAATTCTCTCCAGTGCTCTCTTCAAGCTCGCGGACCATCACTCGTGCTTATACTTTAGCCGAAATTTCGAGATGGAAGTTAGCTCACGAGTTCGAGCATCGATGCAGCATGCTTTACACACAATCGAACGAACGTGCGAACGAGTGCTATTGTTCATCCAGCAGCTCCCACAGCATGACAGACAGTCCTGTACGAATATATCCCCTTTCCACATCCACTGTATTTACAGTTGCGCGGGCAATTTCTCGTGGATGGCCTCCGAGACGGGCAACCCCGGGTATGTCGCAGCGAAACTTTCTTGTGAAAGTATGCTCCAGTCTTTGAAAGGAATATGGAAATCTGCAGGTAGGTCGCATTTGTGTACTTGATCTGAGCTGCAAGAAAGGTCTCAAATGAGGTTTGAACTAATCGTCCAAAACATGTAGGAGTTTATCTCGAGCTGCTGCGGCTTGCGGACGCTTCCTTGAGCGAAGAGTTGTAAACAAGATCGACGGTGAAAAGACAGCACTGCTAGTACTTCCATTTCCATATTTTTTTTCAATCGCGACTGTTCGTCGCCTGTGTATGCTATCTACATACTTGATTTTGTGCCGTACTAGCCAATCAAAACCGTGCCTCTGCACTCAACAAATACTGTCCTGGGTGTATGCTATTGGAAATGAGTTTTTCAGCTACATGATTCACCCAGAATTTGGGCAAATAATCGCAAAACATTGGGGTGATACTCTGAAGTGTTTGTACAGCAGGGAGCAAATCAGGATTTTTCAAATTTAAACCCTTATATAGCCTTAAAGCTATCGAGTGGTGCCATGATTATGTTCCCATCCCACAATTGCAAAATGTTATTGATCCGGCGATGGGAAATTGAGACATCTGGGGAGCTACGCATGGTCGCTACCCCAAGTCCTAGATGTAACCTGAGCGTTGTCAGATCCCTTGTAAAGATGGTATTGCCATGTCACCCTGATATACACTACTCATGCATTATGGCTAGGTCTGTAACTATTAAAAGACTGGCTCGTGAACCAAACAGTACTTAGGCAATGGCCAACTTACCTATCTCAAGTTTTTTAAGCATAGACCTTCCAACGAACATGTAGTCTAGTTCGAGCGATAAGCACGAGTAGCATGTGTATGGTAGTTGTAATTGTATGGAGTTCGGAGGGTCATGATCCAGTATTATAGATACAGATCTAACTCTAATGCATGAGTAGTACGTATCACGATGACAGAACAATACCATCAGTAAAGTAAACCACGGGCGTGGCCCACACGGGCGAGTGGCCCACCCACTCGCAACCGTACGCATTTAATTCAATATAAGTCAACCACCAACGCCTATTTTGCGTATGAAATACCCGCATACTAATCAGGGCATTTAGTGCTCCTATACCCTATTTGCCAGCAATTTAAACACCGCAAGTGGCGCACGCCACTTGGTTGGTTCCGCTGCCGACGAAGGACCTGGTTCGCCAGTGTTTTCCACTTCAACGACTAATTGATCATCCACCATTCGCTGCACATTGTCCTCGCCTCTCATTCCTACTTCGCCATCCATCCATTTGCTAGGTTTTGCCTGCTTTTGTTTCGTTTGATTGACCTCGTGTGCCGATATAGCATTTTTATGCATCTCTCTTTCGTATTATTTGACCAATTGCGCGAAAGCCTGTACAATAGGACTAGGCGGTAAATGAATACGCTAGCGAAGGAGCTTATTGATTGAATGTGCCTGACGATTAAGGTCCTTTGTATGATGAGGTGCATAGGGGACAAAACTGCTACCGCTGCTCCTACTAGTCCCTAGTGGTGATGGTGTATATATATCGGTAAACAAAATCTCTAGCTTGTCTAGCACATGCTACGCATTTAGCGAAACGAGGCCAGCGGCGGCAAAGCTATTTCGTATAGTAATGCCTTGATATGCTTCATCTCGGGCACATGGATATGTAGTAAGGAAATCAAGCTTATTAATATGGTTCTAGTCCTAGCGAATCTAGTCCTAGATAAGCTAACCATATGATTGCTTAATAACAGCAAAGCAGCCCACATCGAGAGGTTGTAATAGATATAAGGAATGCGGTGGCAAACATATAGAAACAATATTGTTTCTTATATATAAATTGTGACCAGTCGTAACGGAACTACGCATACGGAACCACGTATGACGGGACCGCTGTCTCGGGAACCCGTCATGCTGGCATCCACAATGCAGACTTCCATGATCCTGGTAACTCCGACATGATGCAAGGTTGAGGACTGCGTTTGAAGACTGCGTTTGACAGGTGACACAGGACATAGACTGTTGTAGATAAAGAGACTCTTCTTCGGACTCTTCTTCCCTTTCTCAACTTGGATCTCCCGTGGACTACGTACTCAAATTGAATTCTTTATTGATTTTCTTTCTTGATCTGACATCCGGTCACATAAATCATCAAATGCCGTAGTCATATGGCTTCTATAGCCGTCTAATATAGTAGTCCATCTATTGTCGCTCGTTTCGAGGCGCCAATCAGACGGAAGATCTACTAACTAAGACTAGTTATATCGCTTGCCTTTGAAGATAATAGTAGGCGGAAGCGCCTACCGACTTGCATTGACTATTTCAATAGTAGTGACTCATTCGCGATAACTAGGGCGCGCTACCTTGCGCCTACCATAGTATTCCCTACGTGTAATATCCTTTTCGGTGCTTATAATACCCATTGCGAAGCGCGTTTCGTCAAAACTACAGATATCTATGGGCAGAATACCATATTGCTCAGTGGTGCGTCGGACAGTAGTAAACCAATCCCGAGTAACCACTAGGTCTTCACATTGAGCGCGCTTATATTCATATCCCCTACTAAAGCGCATTATAATGCCCTCATAGCGTTTCATGAAAGTTCTTGACTAATTAACTCCGACTGTTTGGATAGGGTCCTCGCCGCGCTTAGCAAGTAGAATATTTGCCATTTCTCGTATTAGAGCGTGATCGGCAGCAATTCCTCGATCGTCTATAGAAAGAAGCCATTTCTTTCACGATTCCTCTTCTAATTGGGTCAATTTCGAGTTATCTGCGCGTGTGGTGGGACGATAGGTCTAGCCCACGAGATTTTTCCTGAGGGTGGTTCTTGGAATACCAAATCGACGTGCCGCTTCACGAATATTGACAATTTCGTTATTCTTGTATGCTTGTATTGCGAGTAGGACCCTTCCTTCCTGGTTGGAAGGATTAGGGCCCGAAATACTGCGTTTTGGCGGCATAGTAGATGGTTAAGGAGAGTAGGAACGCGTGGGAGACGCGATTTGGGGGCAGGTGGGCCACGCCCATGTGGGCCACTCGCCCGTGGTTTACGTTAGGGTGTAGTTTGGAAGGGGTCGTATTTTATGTATTGCATAATGAAATACAGACCACCTCTTCCACAGTTAATGTAATCCTAGAACAAGAAAGTATCTGACACGATATTTGTAACCGATAATTTGCCTAGTGTAGACGCACTTTTTCTTTACATTCGCCGAGCCGGATGGATTATGACTGTACTCGACTTACGTCATGACAGAGCGACCAAAAAAGGCCCTTAACCCCACAATGCACAATGATTCGCTAACCGCAAGGCCACGAGACCAAATATATACTCTGGATCCTGTTAGCCTATTTATCAAGTGACAGCGGATCCCCTTTTTGGAAATTTTCACAATCATAGCCACAATCAAACGTCATTATGATTTTACTCCGCTAGGCTATAAAATCTCCCTGTGTTGAACACAGATACGATTTGTTTAAGGAGACATTTTTATGTTCACTTTTTATTCGCACTTATTCTAAATTAAATTAGAACACGATTTACATTTAGCACTCAAAAGTCTGATTCGCCGCCCTGGAGACGAAATGGATGGCCATAGCCGATCAGTTTCGCCTGCTCTACCTGTGGTGGTGTTCATTGAAATCATGCACTGTCTTTTACCTGCAATCATCCTTGTGTCTACTTCAAAGAGATCGGTTCTTCGATATTTCTCCGTCCTCGCGATGACGTTCATGACAATGCAAGCCACACGACCCGTTTTGGGTCTGGGACATACGGGGGCCTACTTTATAGGCCACATTGCAATAACAACCCTTCAAGCTGCTGATATCCTGCTGATAAACCCTAAAGACAGCTATGATTTGGGCTACGAGAGTTCCAGCGGGCCGACCTACTGTCTTATCAGAGCGATTCAGCTTGTTACCCAAACTCGAGCCATAAACACGCCCTGGCAGGTGAAAAATGTTCCATCTTTTCCAAAATATTATACGCGCAGAAACCCGAAAGCTATATCCCGACCTCGTTTCTTAAGTCGACAATTGAGTATTGCTACATGGCAATATCTCATTTTAGATATATTTTCTACTCTTACGATCGAAAATGCGCCCAACAGAAAACAGGATATATCTGCTCAAATTGAATGGAATCTATCTTTCAGTCAATGGATAGAGCGCGCCGTATCAAATCTGATTGCGTGGTTTTTTGTGGCTCGATTGCTTATTGACATTCACTACCGCATCTTTTCTATTATTTTCGTGGCGTTCGGAATCGACAAGCCATCGAGTTTCCCTCCATTATTTGCGAGAGTTTCCATGGCATATACTTTGCGAAAGTTTTGGGGGTAAGTTCACTTTTAAGAATCTTTTTTGCCGCTCTTTCTTGATTCAGGTTTCTTGATTCAAGGACTTTTCCCAGCCCTGCCGTTCCGAATTAAGAAAAAAAGATAGACCTGCAAGATAACACACAATCGCTCCAATAGAAATTTCTGGCACCAGATGCTACGCAAGCCTTTCACCGCTGTAAGCAACTTCGTTGCTCGCAATCTACTATGCCTCCCGAGGCCGTCCATTCTAGAGCGCTATATCAACATTTTCATAGTTTTCTTACTTTCGGGCATGATGCATGTATTCGTTGACGTTTCAAAAGGAATCGCACCACAAGACTCTGGCGCAATAGCCTTTTTTACTTCTTTTACTATCGGTTTCATCATTGAGGACGGAATCCAGATACTTTGGAAGCGGTTGTGGACTTCCAAAGATAACAATTATCCCCGTGGCAAGGTTTATCTGTCGACCTGGCAGAAGACCGTTGGCTTTTGCTGGGTTATGCTTTGGCTTTCTATCGTTTCAACGTGGTACTTTGAGCCAATGCGGCAAAGTACGGTTGATCAGAATGGTCTCGTTCCGTTTCGCATTTCTTCGCGGTTTGGCCTTCATGCCGTTCTCCCGGCGGTTATTGTTGGCGCGGTGATTTTACATATTGTCTTTGAAACCGAAGTTTGAGTGTTGCAATAATCGCAGCATATCTATTTAAACCACTCTAAGCTCTTTTAATGGGAAGACTTCTTGATATGTCATGCTGCTGTCTTCGTTTGACTCTGCCGTAGACCTGGCTAAAATCTCAGGCAAAGCTTATTGAAAGGGCTATATATAAGATTATTCGCGGAAATGGATTAAGTCCAATCGGGCAGACGCAATACTTACATCTGAATGGAAGCTGTTCGTCTGGTCTCTGAAAAAAGCTGGAACAATTTCGAAGTCTTTCCAGTCGAAGACACCGGCCGTTTAGTATGCCGAAAGTCATCGAATTGAGCACCACAACTGAGAAACTTCACGTTTTGCTGGTTGGTTTACCTGAATAGGCAATTAGCCCTACCTATGCGATTCTACCGTAGGTGCTTCTGCTAGCGAATCTAGCTGCGTAACTAACTGTAGGTCCTCTTCGACGGTTCAACCCTCTTCGCAGGGTCTCTGCCTAGTTTACCGTTGAACGAGCAAAGACCAAGGTCTTTGACGTAGGTGAGATACACTGGGAGCAGTGAAGCCATGTCGGGAAGCAGCGGCAAACCCCATAGACGAGACAGTTTCCGGTATGTTCGCGAGCTGGTGCCGGCGCTGTTCTTCTTTCCACCGACGACAACGATCACATGTTTTATACCGGGAAGACTGCCAGGTTTGGGCATAATGAGAGCAGAGCGTACGTTGCACAGGTGGGGGCGTAGTTGCGGACTGTGACGGAGGTTGTACGATAGAAACGGACGTCGGTCCCCCAGCAATAGAGATAAGCCAACGACGATGGAGTCTCTGGTGCCGGGCCTTTTCACGGCAGGCGGGACATGTTCTATACAGAAGCATTGGCGTAGATCGCGAACAGCTAAAAGTCTTATTCGAAACATGAAATTTCTTTCAATTCCTGACTGTTTTAAATTTTTTGGCGATTTTTCTGACATTGAACTCTTCATCGCAGTGGGATTTTTGTCACAATCGAGGCTTCGTACATCGCATTACCAATTACAGTCATTCAGTCAAAGTCTAAAATCTATACTCCTAACATTCCCCATAAGTATGGTAGCCTCTGGCTCGTGGCCCAGAATCTGCTTTCTCATCAGGAAGTCTTCTGCTACTTACTCCATAGTAAAATGGAGCCTGCGAGGCTTTTACAGAGCAGCACATTCTAATCTGTATGACAGCCTAAAGTAAGATAGCGTGGTCCAGAAATGCCCCGGAGCCAAAATAATAGCGACAGATCTTTTCCCGCTGCTTTTAACCAGCTGTATGTTGAAACAACCTTATCTCTATGATATCCATACACCGTGTATTTCCACTTATACTATACACGTAGCTTTATTCTGTTAGTACAAGGCAAAAACAAGCTAGGAGAAGCCTTAGGGTTCTCGATGTTTTCAGTTACATTATTTCCAACCCCCGTCCTAGACCCGAGTTAGAGAGCTATTTGACAGAACGACTCATACTTATTGTATGGACAGGAGTAAACAAGTTAAAAAGAGCGTTACTAATTTCACTGATGAGAAGGCGTCTGAATATAAATTTCTACGCATGATGAAATCCTGAGTCTAGTGGGACTTCACTTACCTAGCATTAAACGCATTTGAGCATTGAGACGGTTCCTTTTCTCCGTGAAACGAATTTCGACAATCCTAAAGGAAGGGTTTTGGAAGCGATCCACGTAGTACGAATAAGACTAAAATAAACTCTGAACCTCAATCTACCTAGATCGCCCATAAAGGCAATTACCGCTTTCGGTAATGGATTTTTGGTTGCCAAGGAAATGACTTCTGAACGGTTACTGTATTTCACTCAAACACGCTTTTTCAGTGGATCTTCTTTTGTATTAGTTTTACAGTATATTTCATTCTATTCTTGGTCGATACTTTATGAATTGTTAGCATGCTTTAGTTATGACAAGGAAGGGAAAAAGAGCCCTTTAGAGTTGGTATTTGCTGTAAATATTGCGTATTGTCAGCGCTGTGTTTATCGCCAACAGCTGCCAGGCCACGGGTACTAAAACGCAGAGCCCGAGATGAGCTTCTGTTTGATTAATTCCATCAACAATTGAAGTGGTGAAAATTATCAAATGCTTACTTCAACTCAATTCATCTGCCCCTTTTAACCTTGAGAATGAAGCACCGATCCAGAACGAGGTTTTAGGAGATTATGCAACACTTTCGGGTATGCCGCTTTTACTCAAACAATGTCGACGGTGCCATTTGGATAAGATTAAATAGAGATATGTCATAATCAAACAGAGTTACAAGAGGGAAAGGATCCACTTTCGCAGTTTGTTACCAGTTTGCGTTCCTTCCTTTGAGCCGGCTTCGACGAAAAACGGCGCATCATGAGATTCACCATAACCAACATAGTAAATAGAGTTCCAAAAGACAGACTATAGCATAAGTTAGCGTCCAACGCATTTCATCCAAAGCTCATAGGATTCGGCTTACCTTGATCTTTTTCGCAAATTGTTCAATCGACGAAAGTAGGATCTCATCACGACCAGCCAAAATTAGCATTCGTTCCGTTTTGGCGTTTTTCCACCATCCCACAGGCGCTCTGTCTGGCTCATTCCAGTAATCAACCCCTTTATCTGCGATATAAACAGCGGACCAAGTTCTCAATGCTCCAGGAGTAATAATGTCCTTCCATCTATTCTCTTTCATAGAGATCCAGTCCCCCTTGAAGTTGATCCAGGGTGAGAGGCTAAATACACCCGCCAATGGCGCCAAGAGCAAGATGGGCTCTATTTCAGGATGAGGGTGCGACAAGTGCAGTAGTGTTGCCATGGCCAGGTTCCCCCCCGCAGAGTCGCCACCCAAAATCACACTGCTTGCCGATCTATCAGTGTCGACGAGGATGTGCCGTAGTGCCTCGACGGCTTGGCGCAGCTGTGTCGGGTATGTAGCGTATGGAGTAAGGGTGTAGTGAAGAAAGAAGACAGCGATATCGTGACCGTAATTATTAACTTCATGTATTAGGTCGAGCCAGAACTGGAAGTGTGCGGAAACAGCTGCCATTGCGAAGCCACCACCTGCACGACACAGTCAGAATTAGGCCACCGTGAAAATGAAGATGTTTTGTGCAACATGTGTTAGTAACGGTGCTAGATTAGGGTGGAAGTACCATGATAGTAAACGACGACGGTCTTCGCGTCCTTGTTTCCGAGCCAGAAGCCCTCTGCGTCGTGGGCAAGAGACACTATCTCTGGCCGGTGACCGCCTTTATGCATAACGGAAATATAGACATCAGTCGTTGGTAGATTTATATACCTAGCAGTGGGATCATCAGCCGAGTTTTCAATTCCACCACGTCCGCCCTCATCCTCCAAATCCATCCACGAAATAAGGTAAACGTACAGCTTCTGGGGACCTGAAGTACGATCAAGCAGTCTACGGATAACGGCAGCCTTGACATGATGGGCGAACTTCTCGGGACTGGATTGGTCCCGGAACACACCAGTAACAGTAGCCTTGAGCGCTGCGGCCACGATGGAGAGCAGTGCGAAAGGTATATCTGCCTTTTCCCAAAAGTTGAGCCGGGGTATGTTGACTTTTTTTAGGTTGTCCATTATGGCAAACAAGCGTGAGAAATAAAGATGAGCACTTTGGACTTAGAGAAGTTCGTCTGGGGATTTAGGCCTCTGCTTGGCTGGGTTGCCGCCGCTCTTATTGGAGCCAGGAGAAGAGGGCACGCGCTCATTTTTGGGCAACCGGGTCACCGGAAGGCTACTTGGCTAGGAGCGCGCTTGGTGAGTACTCGGTAAGCCCCAAGAAATTTCAAGTTCATTATTCATCAGACCGTATTTAGTGTGTATTTTTTCATAATCTCGTTCATTTACAAAGTTGGTTTTGACATGTGATGATGGATGATGGCCACATTGCTGATGATTGTGTCCGGCTTAATAACAAAACTCTCATCTTTTCACTTGATCTTTGCAAATTGGCCAGCAAAGATACTATGTATTATTGTTCAATACACTTGAATTGTGCTGGGTCTCCAGTGGTGTCAGTAGCTGTATTTGTGATGTAACCCGAGCATCCTTTACAGCAATTGCTTTGGAGGATACCGCCCCTTAATTTGTCGACAAAACACTGTAGCAACCGGAGTCGATATCGCGTTCGTGATGCCGACGAAGGCAGATCGCTGTAATTTACGATTGTGTAACAAAGACGCCACGTGATAGGAGGCATGCCTAAAGCAGTTTACCAGCTTCCTTGAAAGGCACTTGCTTTTTTGGGCAGCTTTGACCTTATCGGGTTAGCGCGATGAATTCTTAATCACCGCTGTGACATTTTGAACACATGGAAAGATTCTCTCAGATAAAGAATCTGGTCGTAATCAAATTTAATTATTATTACATTTTTGTTATGAGCTGCTCTGATTTGAAAATCCAAGCGGAACTAATTTTGGTTAGCAGCGTTATGTCATTAGTTGATATCAATAGATCAATCTTACCCTTTGACTATAGATTGCACGCCGATTTCTATTCCTTCGCAAGCACTGATGGCCAAAGGATAAGATTTTTAGGTACAATGGTTGCGTCTCGTCAGAATCTTCGCAACCATCTTCAGTTTGCCGCTGCGTAAAAAGTCGTTCCGACCACCATGGAATTTTCTCTCACTCGGGAAGGGGTCATAGAGGCATTGCAGACTCTGAGCGAGGGTATGAGGTATTGAGATGTGTTGGTGCCCAAGTAGAGACCTTCTCAAACATATTTCGGATCTCACTTGCTTTGCTTTCACCGCAGATAGCCTCTTGATTTAGAACCCATTAATCAAAGTTAAGACGCTCGCAATCTTTAAAGAGCTTTAAATAAATTCTCATTAAGATGAGAATAACATTTAGAATCATGAAAAGCTAGCTTTTCGTTACGTTTGTGTAATGATGATCTAGAACTATGCTCCTCTGCTTCACAATTTCCTTGCACAACAAAGCTCAACAGCTTGGGGGTTTGGTCTTGGACTTAACAATACAATTGGGATTGCAGCTTAGTAGTCTTTTGGGATCCGATGAGAGAGAAGCTTCATTCCACTCGCACAGCAATCATGAAAGCGGTGATGAAACCGTTGATAGAATGATGTTGTGATAACGTATTTTAACTGAGCCCTATGGCTTTGATATTTAGACAGTGTTGGTATCCAGTTGCAGGAGCTTTAAAGTGACATTTTAGATACTTCGTCATCAAAATAGAAATCGTGAGCCACATTCGCTCCTCTATAGTGGCCCGACTTATAAGAAAGAGATGGCAGGTTGAAGTCCCCGGTTCCCTTCTCATTCCCTTTGTGTATCGTGGGATGCACGTGTCTACTAATTCTTCTCTCAACCACGGTAGCAATTTTAACACGTTGGAATAAAAAGGGACTTGCATATGCGTCTGGCGGTGTTCGTTCATTCCACCGTAGATGAAGTGCCTGCTACGCAGCAACCGTCAAATTTGGAAACAAGGGGGGCAACTTCAAGAGCGATGTCGTCTCGTATCATCTCACCATTTCAATCGGCCTGCTGTCGGAAGAAAATGTGGCACACTGTTTACTTCGAACACGCATTCTTTAGCCTCCCACGGCGCATGGAATAACACTCGCCAAGCAATGCTCCATAAGCTGAAACTGAAATAGAAAACAGGACTCAATGGCAAGTTTTCCCTCCAGAATAGCTATCACTCTGGACTTAATGTTGTAAAGAAATTATTGTCTTTCATTCATTCTCGATAACACGCCTCCTAAACATGTCATCTGAAGCGTCATTCTCTTCAGCATCCTGATTGGTTCAAGACACACATCTAGACAACTGGAAATACGTGTGGCTTTTGTATGAACTGAATCTCAACTGGAAGTGTTTACCGGGTTGTGCTGATAATGAAAATGTAGGTTGAAGAAGTTGTCTGAAGGTTATCAACGCTTGAAGTACCATAACCGCCAAAGACGAGACAGGTGTCCACACAGGTTCTGTCCATTTTACACTGGTCAAAATCAAAAGTCGAGCTTTCCCCAAATGGCTTATCATCTCGGTTTACGTTTATTTAAATTTTTGGACATTCGTGTAATTGTGTAGCTTGCTTCGGTGAGAGTAAATTCTGCCCGAGAGAAAAGCGGGGACCACAAGATGCGCCCATCCCGATCTGATTTTCTCCCATCTTTCTAGGTCCAGGTCCTCAGAATCATTCCCACAATGCACCGAAAGGCGATGCTTTATATATGTATCATAAATCACCTCGTGGCCTTTCAGGACGTAATACAGGTGCGGTGCCGTTGGAGCCCTCGCCAACTAGAAGGATGATGATGATGATGATGATGAAATTAGAATATAGCGCGAGCGTGGTCAAGATATTAAGTATTGATCGTCTCATGATTCTTCTGGTCTACTCAACCCACTAACATCCATTTTGCAGAACCGCGACAAATCTGTGAAGTTCAACGGCACGTTTTCGAGGATTGAACGTCATAGTCTTGCCGGAAAAGCAGCAAGCCAAGGGCAACAAATCCCTTGATCTCTTCCAGTCTCGAATGCGTACAGATACATCAATCATAAGTCTTCATCCCAAATTTGCACACAGATACCGATAAACGTTTGGGGTGTATGAGGTCGATGATTTCTGTTGTAATTCAGAGGAAGATTGCTTATTCTTCAGATAGAAACATGAGGGTTTATATACAACATTAAGAATCCCGACTTATTATCAATACACGCGGATAGTTTAGTAGATAGGACAGTTCACAGGAGTCTTGTGCAGGATAAGGGCTAACTTCGATGCAAAGCTTTATAACGTAATTCACTACCCAGTGGGCCATACCACCGAGCGGGCCACCGTAGAACACCATGCTAAATCCCGTTTTTTACAATCTTATATCTTAACAACCATCACTTCAATTTATCCTTGTATAAGTATATTGCTGCCGATAAACATTATCTATAATCTATATGGATATTAAAGGAATCCAGAAGTGGGATAATAATAATACCGTAAATTACGTCGTAATTTAGCCCCATGAGCTAGAAATATATTATCGCAGATATTCTGTTCCCGAAATCTCCTAAATTTAACTCCGGTACTAAATAAGCCATGTTGAACATGTCCTTTAAACTTTGCCATTTATATCGCTCCTGATGGTTGAGATATAAGATTATAAAAAACGGCATTTAGTATGGTGTTCTGCGGTGGCCCGCTCGGTGGTGTGGCCAACTGGGTAGTGAATTACGTTATCACAAGAATTTTCAAAAGTCCAAATCTCAAACACATCGTAATATCATTGAAATTCCTGTTCCATCGTAGCTGTATAAATTAGTTAATCCATGCAAGCGATAAAACTCCATTCTGTTTGGGTTACCAGTGGAGTCTAACGGGCTCGGCATCGCAATTTACTCGAGCACTACTGTGGTGCCTAACGCGGCACGTCTGCGCACGACCATGCTTAGTCAGGATTATTCATCTTTGAAGTGACCGCACCCTGCCAATACACACATGCGTGCTGACAGGGGGTTGGGGATCATGTGACCCGCAATTAGGTCGGTCATAATTGTGGGTACCATTCGGCACTATACGTGGTAATACGTGTCGGATGTTGTGTCACAACTTCACTTGCGTTTCTACTATACCTACCACGTAGTAGCAGATTCCATCCGACTCCAGTCGAATCATCTGGCCCTCTGACTTGAATAGCTGGACCCAAAACCCGACTCATTTGCCATTTGCGGTTTGGGCCGGATCGGGTAATGGGTCCGATGAGTTTTGGCGAAGTCTATCTGCGATAGGGGCTGGTCAAGAATCAAAACATCCGCCGCTCTCGGGGCTGTTGCGCGGAGTTAACGCAGAGGGTATGTGTACAAATAACTCAATCCTATTTGAAGGCGTTAGCGCGCTGATGGCCTTGTCTACTCAGTTGAATTGACACTGCTTACCGTCGTGAAATTTTTACTAGTGCCTATCCCTACAATAAATTACCTCAATAATCAGCTGGGTAATGAAAGCCGACCGGAAGTGGTTTCTGAGCCTCATTACAATCTCTGCCAACGCATATAGAAAATTTTGCCAGCATTGAATTGATGTTCTGCCCAAAGGATTGCAAGACGCAATAATGGCTATATCGGTATATATTTGTGTCCACTGAAATAGAACTCCATTTCGAAAGATCTGGCAGATACTCTCTACCCATGTCCATTATCCAAGAATCTTTAATTGAATTTTCAACTAGCCCAACAGATACTGAAATCCCGGGAAGCCTACAAGTCTCATCAATACATACCTCCAGGTAATTAAGGATTTTTCCTCATCCGCTGTTTCCTTGAATCGATAGTAATTAACGTCTATAGGATTGGACTTTTGCTTGAGTATCATGCCGTTTGATGAAGGAGTCCTGTTGTGAGTCCCCGTACTGCACCAAGTTATCGGCGTTATTTTCATAACACACTTTGGGGCATTTGCAGTACAGAAGCTCTCGTTGTGCCACAATGCGGACCGGATCTGTTTGAGTGTAGGGCGGGAGCAGATAATTTGCCTCTGATGCCATACAAGACAGAATTCGAATTGGACTGCTTGTGTGGACCCTGGACTGTGCTTGCTTCACCGTTTGCGACCCTTCATTCTCCGAAAGAAATAACGTAAACTTTCCAATGTTAGTTCTTTCGTCTTTCGATTTTCTTGTTAAAACCAAGAGTCCGCACCTTTAGGGAATGAGTTATTCGAATTTTCTTCCAAGTTGTGTCCACGTGCAATTTGCGTGCATATTCTCGAGTTGTGATCTCTTGACAGCTAGGAAGTTGAGCTCTGAGATTAAATGATATTTTCTGACAGATTGCCTCGCCGTTAAGAATTTGTGATATGTGCCAGCTTTTTGGACAGCAAGAGTCTTTTGATGTGCTCGCTATTAAAATTTAGAATTAGCCTTCCTGTGTACATGAGCAGTGAGCAACACAAAAAACTAAAAAAAAACTCACTGGCTCTCTTTGACTCGGATAAAGTGTCAAACAGCAGTATGTCTTTTTCCGTGGTGTTTTTGCCCAAGGTTCGCTTTGCGGCTAGGTGCTGGGTTTTTTCCGTCACGTGAACTTTGATCTGCGTGCATGAGACCGGCTTCAAGGGTACCAAGGTGACCGAAATTGGGATTTGATTGCCGAGTAAGAAGGCTCTTCCAGAAACAGAAATGTTGTATTCTAGTAGACCCTTCCACTTTTGAGAGAGCACAATTGGCTCGATCTGCTCAAGGGAATCTTCTGCCAACGTTCGGACTACCGGAACCTCAATGGTACCACGAAGAGTCGGCCAAAAAAGCCTTGATGTTTCGACAGTAGCTTCCAAGTCATATTTCACAAACCCATGACATGTCTTCAAAGACTCAGGGAAAGAAGTATCGATTGAAAATTCGAAGTTGCATAGGTAATCACCTGTGGGAAATTTATATGGAGGTTCACTAGTCTTATTGTTAGATTTTGAATGAGGACATTTTGATGTAAGATGCCTGTTGAGTCGGTACGTTGGAGGTGCTATCGCAATGTCTGCTTCGGACCGAGGCGAATGAATATCAGCCCGGAGATAGTTTTGATGGTAGGTCATATCTAGGTTGGCCGAATCTAAGGCATTGAGGTCGGCACTGGTAAAACTGATTTCGTCTGTGATGATCTTATCATTCTGCGGGATGTCTATGTTATAAAGAATGATTAGAATATAATACTGAGATATGCCCGTTTTGTGCTTACCGCCAGGCCAATCAACTCCAGCACGTCCTTTAAAGCATACTCTAATGCTTTTCATCTTGGAATTCTTGGTGAGTTTCAGGTATAGTTGTCCTCGGACGATCGCGGGACTTTTTGTGCCATATTTTGGTATGTCGAAGTGTCTAAGATATATGAACGGCTCCAAAAGAGCAACTTCCAGTGTGATGCCGCTCCCAGTGGCCAAAATCTTCGAATTCGGGAGGCGATGGGCGACTTCCTGAGATACAGAAAAGTTGCAAGCGCCTCGAGCAGGACTTGAGGTCGAGGCTGTTGGGAGTGGTTGAGAGCACGGAAAATGATTTGTCATATTGGCCAATCTCGCATACATAGAGAGGGTAGCGAAAATGCTAACTGATACGAATGTGCCCATAGAGGCATTTATATGTTGCTCATGTTCACCTCAAGGCCGAATAGTGGAGAGAAAAGTAACAATTGGTCACTTAGATCTTGTCACTCAGCCACTCGTTAACCTGGTACGAATGGATCATGACGACTGTGATTACTGTTCAGATGCTATGCTGATGATTTATGTGGAACCCGAAATTCTCACTGAAAGGCTTCGGCTTGGTGCGTTTCTGCACTCGGTCGGAACCACATTTAGATGTACGTGTTGCGAAGCACAGGACATGAAGAGGCGACTGTAGTCACTCGACCGTTCTGGTACAATTGATTGAGAATCT